AAACCAGGAATGCTACTTGTGATAAGAGATATGCTTTTACCCGTCAAATTTTACAAAAACTTATTCAATAGAAAATTGGAAGGAGGAAATGAAGGCAAAATTGACAATTATCAAAATGCCTTGTCAGCTCTATATACAAACCATAAGTTAAAGTGCGCATCAGATTCCCCGCTATTCGTCACGCGTGGTATGGCTTAGTAGGAATATGCTTGTAACATCTTTTTATCATCTGGAGCGATTATTGTCATTCCCGATCTGATGAGCGCTGCTCGCACCTTAAACGATAGGTGCAATTTTGTTTAACTGAACATAACATATACTTGAAAAAAAAAACCAAATTAATTCTATTCTCCAAATGCTTTTGTTTTGATCTACAGATTTACATCACTTCTGTAGAATTACAATAAAAACCTTCTTTCGGTTACAGTAAAAAAAAAAAAAAACAAGATGTGTTTGTGAACCGTATTACAGCTTATAGCGAAGGTTTAAGTTTCCCTAATGCAAATCAAATTTGAAAGTCGTGGTTAAGAGATGAAAAATTTAAAACACATGGTTGCCCATCCCCATGGATAATGTGACTGATACTTTAAGGACTACTAGGCCGATGATTTTAAAAACGGAATACCACCGATTACCACCGGTCTACGGCCACCGGCCGGGAAATGTGACCTAGGCATTAGCTCCTGACTTTTCGTTTGGTGAATATTAAAGTATCAAGAAATCAACTCTCCTAACTTTCAAAGAGTTATCACGGAGAAAGCAAATAGACATTATTATCAATTAACAATAATTTTTTCCATTCATATGTCACTACGAAATATCACAGTGAGTTTTAGAATAAAGATACCACAAATGGACTTTTGACATGTAAACCTGAATCATGTACGGAGGCACAGAATTGATAATATAAGAAAACCTTTCTAGTGTTCATTGATATGGTGTTAGGGGCACTAACATGTGTAGGCCGGGAGTTGGTGGTAGGGCGGGTGTCAAGGAGAACTTATTCGTGTTTTGAAATAACCATTATTTTCGTTTAATTAGATGTTGAGCTTAATATTTATCTCGTGAAAAAGCTTCCGTACATTACAGTGAAAAAGTAAAACCCCAGTCACATTTTCGAAAACGACCAGCGGCCAACGGTTTTTAAAGCAAAATTTAGATTCTTCGGGTGACAGTCGGCAATTCATCGGCCGTTGTCTTGCCTGATTTTGACCTCTTTTTTTCTCGGCCGACCAATTTTGTGTCCATGGGTCCAAGTTATAATTTTTTCCGCGTCGGTGGCCGATTTCATCAATTATTCAAAGTTATCCGTTGACCAACCTTCGATTATCGTCCGGTCATCGGCGGTCAATTCATTAAGTCGGTCGTCCGTCGTTCGACAATGAAGATGTCCAAAATTTCGGCCGACGGTTAAAATCAAACTGTAGCTCAGAGCTCGATGATCGGGCGACGATTGTCGGACGTGTGAATATTTAACCTATCAAAGATACATAACCCAAACAAAATTTTGATGCATGAATTGATACATATTTTTTGAACGAAAATAACATAAATAATTAATCCATAAGATGTAAAGAAATCTTAAGTATTCTTTGCTGCTTTGATTCGTTTTTTATGTAATTTTATACAAATTTTGCGCACATTTTCAACATTGAGTCACAATCATACAAGATTCTACCACTTTGCCTTGCAAACATTACTCACGTCACATATCTGAATACATATCTGTGAAAAATATTGCTGATTTCTAAAAAAAAAAAAAAAATTTTTGTGTTATTTATCCAAGTCATCGGTGTTCCTAGGAATTAATGTGACTGCTCCCTGTCGCCTATAATCGTGTCAGCCGATCATGTTCTTTCAGCCGACAAGACCAGAACGATTTAGTCGCCCGACCATCGGCTTTAATGTGACATAGGCATAAGTCGTCAACTGGAAAAGTCGGTCCTTCTCGTAAAAGTCCTATTCTGACACATCTGTTTCATATTAGAATAGTTTACTAAATAAAAGGCGTTCATGGTTATCTAAAAACATAGCTTAATTATAAACATGATGATTTTTCAATCGTCATCTTCTTTTGCTTATGCAACAATATACCCCTATCACCTGCATACGATGTTCATATCTCTCATTTGATTTGATGCACAATAGAGTGTTCTTCTCTACATTTGATCATCATCAATTTTCGAAAAGTTACTGACAAACAAGTTAATAAAACAAGAATATCAACAGTCTCGTTTGAAGTCATTCTTTAGTAAATTGTGTGGTCAATGTAATGTCCATGTCATGATCAGAAAATACGAACTTATATGCAGTCAAATGATGACTGACGCTTTTCATACGAATCGTTACGTCATTAACTGCATAATCAATTGTAAAGGGATTTTCCCTTTACAAGGAGAACTTGGTGGATATGATCGGTCATCAGAGATGCTCACTCCTCCATGGCAACTGATTAAGCCTCTAATGTTTTCTATGTGATGTTCTTTTCTCAGTTTGCATTGTTTGAGACTTTGAATGGACTTTTGAGCTTGACTACTGTTTGTTGTCTTCATATAATTTACATGTATTTAATTTGAACTTATCGGTGCATCTGAAATTGTTTACGATTCACAAAATTGGTACAATTAATGCGTATCGTATACTCCTATAGGCGATGTACAATATGATTATTAATTGTACATTGTTTTATGTCCCATTTTCATTCACATGGAGACGTCACCATATACCGCAATGTGCCGAGCAACATAACAGTTGCTACCTTTTTTCGACTTACAAAATAGGTCAGTTGCGGTCGAGACAAGAACTCCCGATCTTTCGAACACGGAGCGTGTGCTCTACTGACCGAGCTATCATGACGATTAAAAAATAATGAAACCTACAGTGAGTTCATTATCACACATATTTATTATAATAAAAGACAAACACTACACAAAGAGACATATATGCTAAAATCTTCAATTTACCATTGTATACATGGTAAAGCTTTGACTAATAATCAATTTTTATACATTTGTTTAAAAAATATATTACAAAAATCATAAATTTACAGGAAATAAACCCTGTATGCTGATAAAAATTAGGAATAAATATCCTGAATATCCAGGATACCCTTTTCAGTTAATGAGAACCGCTGCTCATGCAGTGAAATTAAATGAATTTCTTGAAAAGTTATATGAATACTAATAAGACCGCGGAACATTAACTGGCAAGATTGGAAATATGCAGCTTACGTCATTTCTATCTGTTACAATCAAAACATTCAATGATAGACAATGAAATAGACGGGTACGATTCGACGCGGACGGCTGAGAAAACATTGGATTGAAATTCTAGTTTAAAATTCATTTTCAATCCACCTGAGCTGTTTTTTTAAAAGCAGAATGTGAATGTATGATCCAAAAGACAAATAATTTTAATTCCCAAAAATTGAAATTTATATTGATATGTGTTTATAGCCTATGACATGATCTTAAGGACACTGGTAAAAGTCATAGAAGATATATTCTTCTGGAGACGGCCATTTGATTCTAGTAGGGGGGGGGGGGGCTGTCAAAAATTGTCGAGTCAGAACATGCTTTGTATCATGCTTTTTAGGATGACAAGAGCTTTGTTAGTTTTGTTTTCAATGAAAAATGTTTGACAACTTTCTTATTTATTTCCAAGATCGCTAAGCTCCCCCCTCCCCGAACGCACACATACATAAATTATACCAAACAAAAATCAACTATTTGTCCCTTTATAAATTTCTTTAAAACGCTGGACAGAAAATTCTGATTTATATATTAATTATTTTCAAACTACATGTATACCGAAATTGAATTAAATTGTCTCCTGGATCAATCAGAAATAATGTGCCTTCAAGCGTGGCTGAGGTAGATTGAAAATGAATTTCTAACTAGAATATCAATCCAATGTTTTCTCGGCCGTTCGCGTCGAATTGTACCCACCCATTTCATTGTTTATCATAAAATGTTTTGATTTTAACAGATGACAATGACGTTAGCTACATATTTCCGATCTTGCCAGTTAATGTTCCGCGGTCTTATTACTCGAAGACTTCAACAACATGCATAAAAGTAAAAGCATCAATCAAAGACTTCATGCTGATATTTATCACACGAAGTCATATCTTTAAACGATAAATCGAAATAGGATCATTAACTTGAAGCATCTGAAACTTTATAATACATTAAATGTGAAGACAATAGACAGTAACAATGTTAAACCCAATAAATCAATACAAGTTGTGAACAGAAAAATACGTAGTTATGAAACAGAAGTGCGATCAGGTGCCATGAAGGACCAAGAAATCCCTGTCAACCGGTCACCCTTGATGTTTCATCTACGTATGATAGAGTATAATGACAAATTAAAGCATCATTGTACCATCCGATATTTATGTCTTTTTACCAGAAAGGAAGCTAGATTTAAAACACAAACATTCCCATTTAAATCTTTAAATTTTGATATAAAAATAAATTCCTTTAGATTATGGAATCAGCTGATCTAAATATCATCTATGAATTCATATTGTCTGCCTGCTTTATCAAGTTTTACCATATACATAAAACTGCTTACACTAATAATAAGTTTTGATAAAATAACAATGTGACAGGCAGACAACACAGACAATACTTCAGACAACATACCACAAGCGCAATGTTAATCTGGAAAACAAATAATCAGATGTACATGAAATCGACATGACTTGTCTGATTCACTTTAGAAAGTTTTGTTTGTTTGAAACATGTTTGATATTTTTTCAAATAATCGTTCAAACAGATTGACAAAATCCTCATCCTCTATAGTAAATATTTCATAAATTTTAAGTTACTTGAGATTTGTTAAAATAGCGTTTTTCCATTATTTGAAAATCTTCAAATTTATGGATTGAGGGTTTTTTGTTGCTTAAATGACATTTTAAGTGTTTAAATTTATTCAAAATATTTCGCATAGATTTAAAAACGAAATGTCATAGGATAAAAGTAAATTGTGATTGAAAATTTTACACTGATTCTTTAATGCTACAAATTCATTTATGGAAAATATTTATATAGATTTATTTTTAGATTCACTTTCTGTGTTCTTTTCTGTACCTGGAGAAGATTTACTAAACAGACATTTCAGATTTAGTGACAGCCCAAAAGCCATGTATACAAATACACCTTGACCACCATTAAGAAGGGTGTGTAACATAGAAAATAACTGGAGTTCTGTGAATTGAGCCAGAAAACCAAACAACCATGCGGCACCAGTAATGGTAGAAAGCCGAAAGTAAGCACTCATTTTCCCTTGTTCCTTTGACTTCCTAATGGTTACTTTGTCTCGAATCCTGGACACAGTCACCACAAACATGAAAATATTGATGCAGACAAAGAGTCCAACTGGTAGTGCGAAAGAGAACAGGATCATATTCGGGTTACCGATATAACAGGTATTAGGAGAGTAACCAAAGCTCTCACCATTACTTTCAATATAGCTCACAATGACATTGATAGCAATAAAGACCAAAGAAATGAAAATATCTATCAGCATGAAAGCAAGAACCCGCGACCTGACTTTCACCTGTGCAGTTGAGAAGGACGTAAATGTTTGAAAGATCTGGAAGGTAGATAAACTCATCCAACATATTACAGACAACCAAAAGAAATGAACTAACATACCTATTCCAATGCAAAGATATTTGCTCCAAAGAAAGAATTTGGAGAACGTATAAGTCGTATTTGCCAAAACTGACAACACAGCTAAAATAATAATATTGATATCCGCAAGTGTTCTGTGAGAAGTATTGAAAACAAATGTAAGAATAGTTACTATTGAAGCTAGTGATGAAAGAGAGAGACAAAATAATGAAAAATACTTCATTAAGCGGTCGTCTGAGGTCGATAATAGACTGATAGGCTGGGTGATTGCATTGGTATACTGACTGAGGCAAATTTCAACACCCCGTTTATCTAAAGACTCCTTGAAATACTTTGAGGAAAAACAGGATTGGTACTCTATAAGACATACGGAGAAATTGGAAACGTCTAGTTTAGCATCTGTGGTTCTTATTTTAACCTTTGGACAGCGATACCAGTCCGCTGCGACGACCATCATCTGATCTTTGAGACAAAGTGAACGCGCTGGGTCAAACTCATTATCATTCAGCATGTTTATGCTATCATGCAATTCCATTCTATGTCCATTCATTGGGTTTACATAGTATCGATTTTTAATGAGTCTACTAAACAAAGAAGTGCCGTAGATATGAAAACTCTGTCCGAGCACAGAGATTAAGCCATGAAATGGTGGCATGAATTCAGGATTTAACGTCAAATTGAAATTGGAAAACATATTTACTAATTTTTCTATCATATGGTCAAAGCTATGAAAATGGTTGATCGATAGTTCTATAACAATCGCAAGAAACATTTCATTCGTGGAAGAAGGGATCAAGCCTGAGATTCTACAGAGATACTTAGTCATGTTATGATGTGACAAGACATCTTGAAGTGCTCGAATGACCGAAGGAATGAATAATTGCAATTCATCTCTGTCATAGTCATAAAGAGGTGTTACTTTCAGATTTAACTCGTAGTTGTTCTCTTCGAGCATGGGGTACAATGGATTGCACTCTGAGTTGTAACGTAAATACTCTGCCTCACAACTAATTTTCAAGCACTTGTCCTGAAATATAGAAATCAACTAATGTAGTTTATATAAAAAATAAGGATGTATTTAACATTATTTTAGCCAACAAGGTTACATATATTTATTTCTTGGAAACATGGACACCTGTTGCTTTGTAATGCAAAATATGCCAATAATCGGAATCTAAACAGATCTTTTATTTTTAACAATTCGGTCAAACTTTAACTTATCAAAGTGTGCATTGTTTAATTTTCAGGGTTTTCATAAAATTTTATGGTAGATTGTGTTTTTCCTTTAAAAAAAGAAACTAGATAAAAGATGATACCATTTTTTCGTCAAATATTTCATCTGGTTTGCATTTCGAGTTCTTTGTAATCACTTCTTTTTCATTTTGATTAAAGTCCATTAGGGCTGAAAAGGTAGTTAGCATACTATCAACTCCGCCAAATGATCCACTTTGTTTGTACTGAATATTAAGAAAACTAGCATCATGTTCCAACAGCGCACAGTATATGTTTTTAAAGACTTTGTCATTGGAATTGTAGGGGAGATGGTACTTCTGGCAGGCATGAGGGAGGTAAGAGTCATTGGCTATTGTCTCTCTTATGAAATAAGGATCGTATTTATGCGTTACGCATGATTTAGCAATTTCTTGAGAAGATTCTGAAGGATAAAAACCGATGTTGCATACTGGATCAATGGCAAAGACATACTGAAAAAGATTTTCTGGATCATCTGTTGCCATGAGAGTAGATCGAGTGGTGCAAATCTTTTTCTTATCCCAAAACACGAGATCAAATGTTTGTTCATTGTTACAGAAAGCACAATTGATGTTGAAATACGTTTCATTTGTTATTAAAGATGTTACAGGTGTGATATTTGAGATATTACTTGATATAGGCGGCATACAGCTACTACCATTTGGACATGTTTGAATCATCCAGTACGACTGCCAAGACCTGATTCCCGATGCCATGTTCCATAAAGGTTCCAGACATGACAAGGGAAGACCTTGCTCTTTTTCATCAAGAATAGGGGGATATTCAATAAATTCTGGAGCAGTTGTTTGTCTGTAAAACTTAGAGGGACAACAGGTGGCTCGCCTTATACAATAATCATTGCATTCACAGGGAGTACACGATGGATTATGGGTAAAAGTAAAGTTTCGTTTGAATTCCTTTCCAAGACACATGTTTTGTTCGGGGCACAATAATAGATAATACAAGAGCATTTCTAGTACTGTATCGTTGTTGATCCATGTGGTAAGATTAAGGGCTTCCTGAAAATCTTCTACACCTGGATACAGTATATCAGACTCATGGGATTCGAAGAAGAATCCCATGGCGAGACCACCTAACGCACCATAGAAAAAGAGGAAAGTGTTCTGCAAAAAAGTAGGAAAGCACTTGTTTAATACTGATACATTTGTAACTGGTATCGAAACAAAATCATTTAACACAAAAATCAGGGGGAAAATCGAGAACTAGACGCGGTTCATACAAAGACATAAAGGGACACGTCGATTTTTCAAAGAAGAAAAAATTAATTTGAGATATCGAATTACACAATCCGTTTCTACGGATCAGCAGTTCGTTCCCTTGATCTATAATTCGAGATCTCAAATTACACAATCCGATCTCACGGATAAATAAATCGAGATCTCGATTTGTAACATCAGTTTTATGATTTTGGCAATTATTATATATATATATATATATATATATATATATATATATATATATAAATTGATCATTTAATATAGCATTCACTTTTATATGGATACCCAGACAGTCTTACATGTTAGTATTTCAAAAAACAGCGCGCTAATTTATCTTAAGTCGAAAAAACTTGCTTTCGATGCCGATGGAATTCTCGCGGCGCTGTCCTACACTACACGGTCATTGTTTTTTAGTATTTATTGTATTACATGTCGCTATTTTTAGCACATTCTTTAAAGGAAAAAAATGGATAAAACAGGTTCGATTTTCTTATTAAATGAAATTTTAATAAAGGCAAATAAATCAAACACCTGCAGCACAAAGTAAAATTTTGCAATACCGAACATGAATATATACATCTATGTGACTTCACTTACGCATATACATCTTATGTAAAGCGATTCGGAAATGTTTGAGGAGAGGTTTTCAAGGGAACATTTTTTTTTTAGAAATAAACTAAATAATTTTTCTCACAAATTTGCCATAGGGTGGAATAAAATCTTCATTACAGTGTGATAAATATTCCATATAAACATTTTTACACATAATAAAGAATAAGCAATTAAATCTTTATATCCAAATTATATTTTATTTGCTTCAAAAGCATGTATACATATAATAATTCTACAAATTCATGATGACTTTTCCCCCTGAACTGCGCATGTTTAACTTTTTCCTTAAGCGGAGGACACAAATTCTCTGAATTAGCTTGTTTATGTTTTATTTTGAATCTCTTTTTCCATTTACATAAATACAAACCCATAGCATACAATTTTCACCCACTACCACAATCACACACACACCTACAAATATCTTATGAAAGACGAAAATATTTGAGGATTTGGGGAATATTTTTTGAAATTAAACATCGATTTTTCCACACCAAATTTGCCATAGGGTGGAAATGAAAATTTAAAACATTTTTGTACATCTAGTTTATAGTCAATACCAAAGTAGCTTGCAAAAGATGAAATGACAATATGTATGTAAATATATGGTGACTTTTGTGAAGTTTGACATTAGTATTCCAACGCCCTTGTGATCTATAAGTAAATAAAATTCTGAATTCATATCACATATCAAGTCAAAGATGACATAGATACTTTATGAAATTGAAGAATAGGTCTGGGAAATAGATTTTTGTTTTAAAAGCTTTTCACTCCCACTTGAACCCAGCATAAAAATGCATTTAAAACCTTATTGCACATCACACACATTCCTCTATCTTGAAAAATGACATTTGTGAAAGTATTGATTTTAAAATAAAACAAATCTGTTGGTGAATCTGGGTCTTGTTAAATGCAAAATGTCCAATTTTGTCCCCAATAAGGATGAAATAAAAACTCCAAGACCCTATTTGATCTCTACAGAACACCAACTATTACCTTCCAAAAAATAAATTTTATTGAAAATAAACCAATTTAAGACCCCTTTTGGACCATTGGGTGAAACTTGAACTTCGGATACCTCCCTTCACAATCACAGGACACATTGCAAAACATGATTTGAATACTGTGTTACATGTACAAGGTGGCTAGGGATAAAGTATTTGTAGCAAAAACATAGTTTTCCATTTCTTTTTTATCCCACAGATGAAAATCAAAACGCTGAAACCTAACTGAAAGTCTTAAGAACACCGGATATTATATTCCAAACGGTGATTTGATTACTGTTCAAATTTAAAAAGACATTGTGAAAGATGGACGGAACAGGATAACAGCAGTATACATGTACCTGAACTTTCTTTAGGAAGTTCGGGTGTAGTAAGAAAGACTGGAATCGATTAATTACATACTTAAAACCTTATACAATGTAACTGAATTTTCACTTTAGCACACGTTTGTAACAGAGAAGCTAGAAAAGATAAAGTCCATGAAAACCTTTAAGACCAAATCTACTCGTGCGTTAAAATTAGTAAATCAGAGATATGTGCTACTCACCATGGTTTTGGGTTGGGTTTGATGAAAGAATCCAATAATTTCCTTTTTATATCAGAATGTTGATATATATATATATATATATATATATATATATATATATATATATATATATATATATATATATATATATATATATATATATATATATATATATATATATATATATATATATATATGATATTATATTAATCTCTTTTAATTCAAACACATGTCCGTAACATTTTTTATCCAATTTCTAATGTTTTTAGAACTAATTTTTGGATATGACCCTTAGTATACTGGAAAATGGCAGATCCAATGATTTCCTGGACTTGTTTTTTTTTTCCTTCCGAAAGGTGTTTTTTTTCAAATTTGGAAATAGAAACAAGTCTTTGTGCTCTTGCATACCTTTGCTTTTGTCAGACCTTCGCCGTTTTTATCAAGTACATCTTATGGTAAATTTTGTTTTGATGGTTTTAAGCTATAGATTCATGTTCCAATATCTGTTTGAATATAAAACAAATATGGATTACTACAATTACTGATATTTTGAAATAGTTGTTAAGACTTTGGTACACACTGTCTTTTTCATTCATTTTTCAAAATATAGGGTGACTTTTGAGTACTAAGCTTTTTTACTGTCAAACGTTTCTTAAAAACAGTGTAAATTACTCCCGATGTGATGTCTATCAAATTTGCTATGTGTCTTAATGTCAATCATACATCATCAAATATTATTTGTTGAAATTTGGCAAACAGTACATAAGTTGTTACAATTTTTGTTGGCAATGAGGGTACCCATTTTTGATGCCCATTATATATTTTTTTTTATCATCGAAATCCACCTGCTCATTTGTCTACAAAACAGGCATCGGTTGCTGTAAATGACACATATTTCAGTGAATATTTCTTTAGGATTTTTAACAAGTTTTACAGCAGCTTTAATATAGCCTTTATTTTCACTCTATTTTTCTGATTCTTTACCATTCATTTATAATGCAGTGTCTCGAATAGCCCTTGTTTCCCAGCTTCTCACGATGAAACTATGTGATGAAAAATGGTCACATAAAATGTTTTAAATTCAGTAAAAATTCAATGATGAGAGAAAGTCAAGTTTAATGTCATATGATATCTGTATTGTATGTCATACAATTCAGGACATTATTTATTGAACAACCGTCGTACTCTCCGTTTGACCTTTTTGTCTTTAAATGACTTAAGTACTCTTTAAACGTAGGATGAATCGCTTTGAAGGACACTTAAAACTTTACACTGAAAGATAATAGAAACGAAACAGATTCTGCAGAAAAAAAGATAAAATAATACTTTTAAAAAATATCAGGAAAAAAATCAAAAAGAAAGATAGAAATATATACAGAAATGACATCTCCCTAACCAAAAATAAAATTGAACATTTATGCATAAAAGTTATCAATTTTTGTTAAACGAAAATGATAGCCTTATAATAAAATTATTAGCACACAATCTTCCTAAAATTACACCAATTAAAAAAACTTACCATGTTTTAAGAGGTTTGAACGATGAAGAAAATAATTTCCGTTTTTATAGCAAATTCCAATAAGACCATGATAGAAATGTTATGATTTTTTTCTCTGGGGGATGTTTTATTTCCATGTTTTTATGTTTTGGTTGTTTTTTTAAGGTCAATAACTTTTATTTATCTTAACGTTTTGCAAATCTTTCACAATAAAGTATGTAATTGAATATTCTAAATAATATTTTAATGTTTTATTTCATTTGTATAATATCAAACGTTAAAGCAATTCAATGTTTAAGGTAAAGAAATCTCAGTGAAAATATTTATTTAGTATTTTATGTCAATTTCATATTGATGTACATTGAAGCAGGTACGAATATCTCTGAAATCAGTTTTTACTCATTTGTTTTTAATCACACCAGGAAAAATTAAGTTACAAACAGTATAATGTAATCAATAATATTTGAAAGAAAAAATATCAACTATATTGCCATGATTTTTCTCTATCCTGTTGTTAAATTGAAACATGCTATTATACATGTTGGACATTCTCGAGCATACATTCAGAATGTTTTATGTCGTTATGTGATTTAGCCATTTTTTTTATCAAACGAAACTTAACTTTTGATTTCCTAAAAATAGAGGTATGAAACACGTATTCTGACATATTTTGAAGGACTTTCCATGCTTAGGTGCAGACATATTACATTCAATTTACTTTGTGTTGTACATGAAGAAAGATTTTAAATCATAAATCAAAATAATACTTCGATTTGAATTTTGAGGAAATCTCTGTAGCCCTCCACAAGTAAGTGGTGGTACATGTATCTCATTATGAGTGAAAAAATCTCAAAAGGGAAGTTAATCAAAACGGGAAAACAAACTTTTGATCTCTACTCTCTTTTGTATGAATTATAGTTTAGAAAAAGGATACACAAAAAATCAATACAAGTATTTATTTCGTATTGTTGCCATTACTGCAATTAGTTTAACGTCTCCTAATTTTCTTGAAACCTCTGTGGATTTTTTAATAATCAGAAACATTATACAAATTAAAAGCCTTGTTTATATTACATATCAATCTGCAGCAATTAAATTTCCTGGGGGGGGGGGAAATACAAAACAATAGCATTGCTGTCATCCCCGAGGGAACACTTCGTCAAAAGCTTTTATAAAACTACAAAAATCTAGTGTTTTCTAGAAAATTCTTTTATTCGTACAAATACAAGATCTTGCTGCTAAGATAAGCTTTCTCTCATTCCTTCCAAATATCTGTTGTACTCCATAGTTTGATATCATGGACATGTACATAATATTTCTGAAGGTGATATTATAAGTGTGCCGTAGTTCCTCGTTGACAACATAATGTAGTCTTCGGACACTAAGTCTTAAACAAAATGATGGAATCTCCATAGGCACTAATTTTGCTCCTTTATTAGCCAACTTGTTTTTATACAGCTATGAAGCAACATTAAGTCAAAAACTTCTAAAGGAGAAGAATGATATACTATCTGTGGCCTTCAGCTTGATATTTATTTTTCTCAATGATTATCAAGAGTTATTTCTGTTCATATGTGAATTCGATATATCCCAGTGAATTCGAAATTATATTCACTACAAAGCACACTATATCTGCTTTACATCTTTACTGGCTTAAGACGACAAAAGCCTACTAACACCCAAATTCTATTACAAATGAGATAAATTCAGCTTAACAATCATCAACATTCCGGAATCCTTATTTTTGTAGAAATATTTGCATACCTACATACGACTGTTTTTTTTTCAAAATACAGTCTCATAGATTTTCAACAGCATACTTGGAGTCCGATTTCTAAACCGAAGCAGGTTACTCGCACATAAGTTGATGTATCAGGGATATCAACAACCCCATTTATACTCAGCATTTCGTAAACTCTTTGGCAGTAATACTGACTTTGTTTGCAATTATAACAAAACTATGGGTCGTATTAATGCTGACTTGTTTAAACTAATTTTCAGGCCTTTAGTTTTATACACATGTACTGATTTGACCACGGAATGTTTCGTCAACACGATCATTACGTAAGTTTAGCAGCTCTGTGAAGGATATGGAGATTAAGAACAGTATTCAATAACAAAGTCCATAAAACAATAAAAAATAAATAGGTGCAGAGCAAATACGGACCTCCGAAACATCAGAGGTGGGATCAGGTGCCATGGAGGAGTGAGCATTCCATGCTGATCGGTCACACCCACCGTAAACTCCTTGTCATGATAGAAAAAATAACGGAAAAATCCGTCGTCAATTTAGTGATGAAATAATGAACTAACAGTTAGTATGAAAAACGCCAGTCAGCATTTGACTGAATGATAAATTGTATTTGCTGACAAGGTCATTGTATCAACCATAGAACTTACGAAATGATGACTTTAAACGAGACTGCTGATATTCTTGTTTCATAAACTTGCTTGTCAATAATTTACCTCGCTTTAGAAACTGTTCATACGTAGAGCATGCTCTTGCTATCGAATCGAATCAACTAAGATATATACTCTCCGTATGCAGGTGATGAAGGTATATTCTTGCATAAGTAAGGAAGTTGGCGATAGAAAAGTTAAAGTCAAAGCGTTTACCATATAGCTTGGTTGTTAGATTACCATTAACGTCTTTTTCAAGTAAAATATCCAAGTATGAAACAGATGTGTTAGACTCTGTGATATCTTTTATCTCAAGCTCACCAGGATATATCGTATCGACGTAGGAATGGAAATTACCATTGTTAATTGACAATACGTCGTCGATATATCTAAATGTCGAGTCGAAGGCCACAGCAAGTGTTTTTTTCTTTTCATGCATAAGATTTTGCACAAATTGTGCTTCATATGAATATAAAAATAGGTCTGCTAATAACGGAGCGCAATTGGTAACCATGGGAATTCCAGTAGATAGTTGGAATACCCGGTGACCAGTTAACAAGGGTCTCTTGCTCTTCCTATAGCCATTGACACCTACCCCTTCTCGAATTTCCGGGGGTTCCTGTTTATGCCCTGTTCACAGAACTGCGTTGATTGTTGTTTTTATGAGATCGATCTCCCTTTATTATCTACATCTTTTTCCCATTAATTGTGAAAGGTTTACCATCATCGGTTAGCTGTATACTTTGTGTTCTTTTTAAAATGACATCGATATTTTCAATTTTTCAAGTTCATATCAAACTGTGTCGATAGAAATTTATTTTTGCTTAGCCAAGGCAGATCAAACTCAAATGGTATAGGAATGACGTCAATAGATATGATGGATGAGGAAATATACAAAATTACGTATTTTGGAGCATTTTAGTTCCCTAACGTAAAAGACACAGTTATGAACAGATATGATCTATATTTTCAACAAGATCCCCTTTTGTTCCGAAACCATTACTTTTGATATACGGATACCAATATTTAGTTGTTTTTTTTTTTACAGAAAATAAATTGAAATTTGCAAGGTATAGTTTTTGCTTCTCTTGTAGAAAAATGAAAGGTTAAGAGACACTTTGTAATCAGCATTCAATTCATTTATTTTCAAATTAATATTTTCAAGGAGAAACAGACTGAAAAATTAGCAAAAAATATTATTGATTTAAGAGGAAATTATTTAACATTTTAATATATCAATGTATAAATAATGTTCCAATCCATTTGTTTAAGATAACTTTGAAACGAGACTATGTAACAACTAAGAAACCTTAAAATATCTTTAAAATTCTAACAAATATTTGATGGCAAAATAACATTCAAATTTTTCAGAGCTTCATTTCATTAAACTGCATCTACATTTCAAAATAAATGAGATTCAAACAAAATTCATCTGAATAATCTAATTCAAATAAAAAAAAGAAAAATCCGTAAAATTAATTAAGATTGATTAAATAGGGCGCAGACATTTCGACAAGTCATTTGTACTATTACATTCAAGCTTTCTTCATAATTTGAAATACGCCATATATAATTATGTATTTTTTTTTTAATTCAAGATGTGGTTTTACTAGAGTAAGGAAGAAGGATAAAAATATTTATGTGCAATAAATATCAAGTACTCATTAATAGGCGAGGCAATAAATGGTTTCAAGTTTAAATATTGAACAAAACTAATGAGATTATTAATATTTACTTGACTAAGTGACTGTATTGATATTGATATTTCATACCTTAAATAAACACAAAAGTTTTCCTTATTTGAACAAGGAGGATTTCAATTAAGGAAATAATGTTTTCAAATAATCTCATACATGGCATAGAAGTTAAATAGCTTGACCTTTACATCATATTCAGAGTTCTAAGTACTTGCAACAATTCACGCTGCTCATTGGGCTTTCAGTCGATGAATGTAGCCAAATTTTCGCTAAACATTCCTTAAATAAATCAGTTGAGATTTCGAATTACGTTGCTTCTCTCAAATTTCTTTGTTGAATGGGTAAGTGCATATACAGGTTCTCATGACCAATTTTTTCATCAGATTTTGACTTTGCAGAAAACATAATGTCGTGAAGCTTATCTGTGTGTCCATTGTGATCAGCATACACACTTCCTCTGTTCTCTTCATTAACCTCAAAATGTACACTTTCCCCGATCTCTTCCTCGTGACCAGCGTTCACATTGTTACTATCCTCTTCAAGTAAACGGTAATTCTGGTGGATTGGCTTTGTTTCTCTAAACAGAAAATAAATACAAATCATACCAAAGAAAACCTTTGTATCCATAGGTACAATGTAAAATTTTAAGAAAAATAAATTTAAAAATTGTTTACGTTTGCATTGATAACATTTGATGTGTTTCTATACCTGTAGCATGTGATGACTACCATGCTAAAAGCACTGAGGATAAAAAGAAAAACAATACTGGAGACAATAATCCAATACTGTATTCCCATCGACTTCAAGCTTCCCCAAAATTCATCCATAGTGATCACTTTTTCAACATAAACATCTGTTGAAATTTTGGCATGACTGGTCAGGACAGTGCCTTCTGTGCTTGGACTGCCTGTAGGGCTCACTGTGCGTGGACTGCCTGTAGGGCTCACTATGGAAGAAGTTTCAGTTTTTATCTATTAAAAGCATATCAAACGACATATTTTCATGAAGTAAAAAGAAAGAAAAATAAATTTTTAGAAAGAGAAAGTTTTATTTTACAAGAAAGACTATCCTTTGGACAACCCTTTACATCATCACACTTATCATCTGGGCATGCGCATCTATTTCTACATCTAGGACCAAACCAACCAGGAGGACATGGGTTTGAACAGTTATGTCCGAATGATCCTATGCACTCTGAAAGAGAAAGAATTGTCTCTATGTGTCATATCAAACAATATTTATGGATTAGAACTCTGTAAGTGACTGCAGGATCTAGCTACAGGATTCATTGCACTCCGATAATACGTTCATTCATGGGAAGTTTTAAGACTTACTTGAACAATGGAAGATTCTGCATGCAGTGTTTTCAAATGGAAAATTATTACAATTGACAAATTGCAAATTTTTAAACAACCCGAAACGCCAGGAGTTGATATCGCTGATGATCCATCAGTAAAAATTTGTCAATTCATGTATTTTCCTATGAGTAAGAATTTGAAATGAAATATCTGTCATAAAGATATAATCTATATCAGAGTTCTTTTTAATAAGAATAGTCCACTGGGGAGGGTTGACTTTAATAGAAAAATTTTAATTTGAAATTTAACACAAATGAATAATTAGTGCTATGTAGTTTTCTTGACGATTTTTATCTTAAAACAATGCTTTTAGAGCTATTTGGAACCCTATCAAAATAATTCTTTGATTTTCTAAAAAAAAAAAAAAAGATTCAGGCGTACATGTGTATGCAAAAATGTATTTTAGATAGTTGAAATTATTTAAGGATATTAAAGTCACTGTCAATCAGTTAGTATAACATTTTTGCCAGGGCATCAACCATACAGCAAAATGGGAAAAATGGAAAACTGATAATTTGCATAATACGGGCGAAGCCCGTATATATTAAATTGTTTCCTGTTTCCCCATATGGTTGATGTCCCTGGCATACTATACTAAACAACACAATACACTAATGATCCTTATATTTCCATTTCATTGTGAAATAAAATTGTAGATTTAGACTTTAAAAATGCAGACATAGATTTAAATTACACGCGGATTCCCATCCCAATTTCAATAGTCCTCGCCCTCGGACGTCAAACACAAAGGCAGCCGCACGAGATTTTCATGCATATTTGGCCTCCTTAGCGTCAGACTCAGAGACAGATGCGCACGAGATTTGCATGCATATTAGGCCTCCTTAGCTCCTGATCTATTGACCTGCCTATTTTACATTCCGTTAGAATTATCAAGAAATTAACTCCGCTAACTTTCAAAGAGTTATCACAGAGTGAAAAATTAGAAATGGAAATATTCATGATTCAATTTTATATTAAAGTGTTGCACTGCATCGATCACTTACCAAGACATTTTTGATTCAGTTCATAAAATCCAGTACAGCAAAACCGAGTTCCACTGCAAAATGAGGTAATTTTAGATGAAAGATTGGTTTATTTTATATAAAAACAAAATATTTAATTTACAAGTATATACATTACTGACTTTGTTTCCTTACACCCGTTGACCGTCCCAGGTAAGATACTAGACAAAACCTCAAATAGATAGCACAATACACCAATGATTGAAAAGACAATAAATGTCATTTTCACAATAACTACATTCCCTCACATTTTTATCAAAGTTTGAATATGCAAATACATTTGAAATCATACGCTTATTTACTTCCTTCCTTCTCGTTTAGGCTACAGGGCTACAGTATTTGCCATCGGTATATAACAGTTCATGTGATATATATAGAGAATAATACATACCCTTTTCCATATCACATCCTGTATCAGCCCGAGACACCAATATCAGCCAGAGGGCCGAAGGCCCGAGGGCAGATATTGGTGGAGGGCTGATACAGGATGTGATGTGGGAAGGGGGATGTTTTATTATATTTATTACATACTTAGTAATAAAATACAGCACACATTAAGTTGAGAAGAAAATAAATAAATAATCATGCATAGACTTGTCACAGAAATATACATGATCTATTGTCTCATACGATTTGGGTTTGTTTTTACTTCTATTTCAATGCACTCGATCCGTAATTTAAAATAATCTATTACATGTATTTGTAAATTAAGATTAACCTTGTTTTCAAAAAGTTAAAATTAAGAGAATATGAACCCACCAAAAATTGTGTATGATCACAAGTACTGTTTTTGTGGTTTAACTTACTGAGGGTGTGATATTGACGTCACAATAGCCGTATCAGCCCTGCAGGGCTGATATATAGGAATTAAAATAAAATTCTGATATAGGTTATCAGTATATATATAGCAAATCCATATCATTTGTTCTGCAGCTGCTCTGAATCCTCCTTGATGCAGTAAATAATTTATTGTTTTAAGTAAAACAATTATATGCAAAAAACCTGTATTTATTACTAAGTGTGTAATAAATATGTATATATAATGATGTTGAAAACACAATACGCAACTTAAGTATGGCATAAGTTCTATAAGTGCTATACGTTTTATTAACGGTTATCTCTAGCATTAGATCCTATCGAATGTGTTTGGGTAGGAATTCTTGAAATAAAAAAAGTTAAAACATTGCGTGTTTTGTTCCATTCGATGCTTAATGATAAGTAAGCTCAGCGTTTGGATGTAACTAAATGGCAAGAGTTTGTTTTGTCATCTATGCAATACATTTGTCAGGCGAGTCATCTTACTGCTTTCCACGTGATAAAATAAAGTGTGGGGACATCCTTGCTATTTTTTCTAGAGTATTTCCTGCATGTTTACTTTTGCAGTACCAACCAGACAGCTTGCAAGCACCATCACGGTCTATAATAAGGACATGTTGTTATCACGTGCCCGTGCATTAAATAAGGTTACACCACGAACTTTAAGCCAAAATATTTACTCTGAAACAAGGAAACTTCTGCTCGATATGAAATATTTTTATCCACAAAGAAAAAAAAATAGACATTTTATTGAACTCCGACCGTCGTACACAAACATAAATAACTTTTGTGCAGAGGTTTCTAATTAGTATTTTTATGAAAGCAACGAAATTAAGAGTGCTCTCTCTTGTCTTTGGGGTTAATAGATGGCTTGATGACAAATAAAGTTACAATTACGATTGATATTTGGAGATATCAAACAACAATAAAACTCAGAAGTCTGTTAAATGAATACAAATCCATTTTTTGGTGCTGAATAAACAAATCAATTTCATCGTACTTTACGAGCAGAATTATGAAAACACGATTTTCATCTTCTTTGAAACATATGAAAAGTAAACCGATCCTATATTAAATTTGATATTGATTTAAAGAAGAGGCCATGTCATACATCCTTTTCTGTATACCGGTCAAATCCTTGTCATGATGGACTGGTTTTCTTAAATTTTCATTGAAAATGAGTTTAAAATACAGTCCGGTTTACCTACAAATAATTCAGTATGTAAATAGAATGGCATAACAATCAGTATAAAAAATACGTTTGCCGTTCGACTTAAAGATAGATTGCACTTGCTATCGATGGCATTGTATCGACTACATAGCTTGCAAGATGGCTTTAAACTATAATGTTGAGACATGTATTCGTGATTCATTAATTTTTTTTGTCAAAAGTCTATCTTCTTCTAAAAAATTGTCTATTAATAGTAAAGGATCAACTGGGAAACATAAACACAATTTGCAGATGATAAGGGCACATGTATATTGCTACAAAAGTTACGGAAATTGCAAACAGAAAAGTCAACGTCATCAAGTTTATCTGCTAGATAATCTGCTAGATAATCATAAACGTTTTTTCAAGCAAAATATCCAAATTTGAAACTTTTTATTTGTGATCACATGAATACATTTAGTCTACATATGAACGGAAGTAACGAATGTTAACTAATCATACGTTGTTTAAATCTCCAGTCAAAATAAATGGATTTCCTTTCTTTTCCAAGTGTGTGCCCTTTTCACAGACTTGTATTGTTGTTGACTTTTATTAGACCCAATACTGTCTATTAATTTGATCCTTTTCACCTCATTTCTACGTTGATCCGTTATACTTTTTGAGCTCGAAATAAAAGATACAACAAAGTAAGACATATATCTTTCATTTTGTAGATTTTTGTGCTCAAAAGACGTTCAAGATGACGAATCAGCGTTGCATTTTTACTTGGTGTGAAAAATGAAGTACACACAACAATACTATTTGATGCCTACTGTAATTTAATAACATAATACAGTGTAAGATGAGCTGGTATTAATTAAGCACAGACTTTTCAAACAAGAAAGAAAGCAAAACAATTGTACAAGAACTTTAAATTTTGCAGAGAAAAGTTCTCATCCTTTGAGGGATCCTTCGCTTTCAATCATTTATATAAAAACTATCCTGTGAGAAAATAATTGAAAGACTTCCTTGAAATCCTATTAAAGTGTAAAGTAATATTTGAATTTGTTGCACTTTTATCATTAAATTTTTAATTATAGGAAATAAATTTTATAATAATAAATGATTTGCAATAATTTGTGATTTACAATAACCCATTGTCAGAGTCCAAACAAATGACTGGTTGTTCTGAGAAATCCAATGCCCTAAAGGAAAGAGAAAAAAAACCTTTCCTGATGAATAGAATTTAATTAGTTTGACTAAATGAACATTATTATACAAATATCTTTTATTCTTGAACCCAATAGCTCATTCGAACGTATTAAAAGGAATAAAAAGTTATACTTACACACAATTCTTTAAACATTTTAAATGTGTGTGCACATGTTCTGAAAAACCATTTACAATTTTCTTTACAATTAACACAGCTATGCAATATCTAATTAACAAATTACTTCTGGAGGGTCCCAGGAAACTAAGACGTTATCACTCAGCAAATCTTAATTTAATCATTTTTATGCCACAAAAGACACTATTTTCAGCGTATATCCAAGAATAAGATAATCATTCAACAGATCTGACTAAACATGTGCAAACAAGTCATTTTTGTGGAAAATGTGAGACATTATCTCTCGACGAATATGAAAAACAAATCTATTTAAACCACAAAAGTTGAAATTGACTGCTAGTATATGCGGTAATGACCAAATTTGCCTCAAAGTTTAAACCTTAACGGAGAAATATATAATAAAGTTCTAAAACAGTGGGATATCTGCAGGCTTTAAAGCACTGAATATTTTCATACATGTAAACCATGACGCCTTATATTTGATAAAATTTTTGAAATGATTTTTACAGGAAAAGGTACATATTACCTCGACATTTTGAGTAAAAATCACCCAGAGCAGGTCTGTTTCAGCTCAATATCTTGATATAACGTGTAGAATGATAATCTAAATGAAATATGTAAATATTGTTTTGAAGCTGGCCATTGTTCTAAAATTTTCATAGTAAAAATTGCACAAAATAGTTCAAATTTACAGTATTTTAACGAGTATTTGAGGCAATATCAATCAACAAATCTGAATACATATATTTTTTTTCTAACTCCAAATGTCATGATTTTCTGCACGTTCACAACAATTTAAGACAATATCAAACGTAAAACAGATCTGTAACATCATCATTATTTACACCATAATAATCGCCATGACCATGAAATTTTCTTCTGATGAATCTGTAATGTATATCTACATGAATAAATGCTTCCTGGTGAAAAATGGTATCAGTTTTTCTATATCATTCTCCATTAAAAAGAGCAAAAAATATTTCAAGGTGGTCAATTTCTTAAAACACAATTATTCATTCTTAAATTTACACACAATGAAAGATAGAAATGCACTGATTTTCGTTAAGCTCCTTTTTATTTTAACATTTTTTTCACAAACACGAAGACGGTAATTCAACACAATAAAAAATAAAAAAATAAAAACAATACTGGAAACATCTAGTTGGCAATGCTCTGCTTACATAGATAGTTAGAAAATATAACTAGTTGATGGTAGAATTACAACGAATTTCGAATTCATCTATATCAAATTAAAAGACAGCTAGTCTGAAAGGAAATTTTGCAGGTTATTAAGTCCATGTTGCAATCTGGGAGAAAAGGATATGAAACGAATTATTTTTTTATGTTTAAAGCTTTTTTATGTAGAATTTACCTTCGGGACAGCCTGATACACTCAATATTTGGGCTTGTACAGCCTCTCTACATCCATGTTCAAACCAGCTAGGAGGACATAGGCTTATTCAGTTTTCATCAATTGACCTAATGCATTACATAGAATTTCCACTGATAGTATCAAGTGCTATTTTGGTAAACAGAAAATTCTTATCTAAATTGAAAAAAAGATTTAATTTCCATTCCAAAAAAAAACCCAAGGCTTTTTGTTTATCCAACTGTAACGAAAATACGGACGGATACCAACTTATGGTATACTTCGAAAACTTCCTACATGTGTTGAAAACATAATAAAGAATTCGTTATTCCACAAACAAAATCTACGTTATTAGATTTCAATGACATCAAAGAATTTTCATGCAAAAATCTTTTTAAAATTTGGTAAAAGATCCTCCATGGGTAAGTTCCCATGTGACTTAATATATAAAACGATACTCAAGTTAAGATCTTTTTATATGAGAACTGTTTGCAACAAACACCAAGGGTGTAACTCTAGTCCAGCTGTTACAAAATTATCAAAAGTGTGATTCACTTGTTTGCGTACCCATTCCGGGCTTGTTAAACAGTACTTAAAGATCTTTAAAGAAAGCCATTTTTGGAAAAAAACGATGGTCTGTCGTGTAACTGGGAAGTAAGCACTGAGAAATTTCTTGTTCATTGTAAGTCCCTTGATGCAAATGGCGTGTTTTATGTGAAAGCATCAAAATTACGGACTTTTGTGAATGTTACTGGTTATATGCGCAAGTCAAAGAAGGTTAAAATTACAAACCATGGACGATGTCTTCAATCTTAATTTAAATCTTTTAACTAAAATCTAATTGTGTTTAGAATTTTTTTCTTCGTCGCAGATTGTATATCACGCTTTAGCAACAAAATAATCACAATCCCTGTGAGTCACAATGGAAGAATTCTTTAAACGTTCCTTTAAAGTACGATGTTGTATAATTTTTATTTTATGCTATCACTTATTTAATTACTTATTCCTTAACACCATACCAATCTCTAAAACAATAATTCTTTATCGGTCATTCTTCTTCTTTAGACTGGAACCAACAACTAGTTTCTCAAGATAGGGTTTGTTGAAAATTTAATTGCTGCAAAGGGGGGATTTTAGATGCACTGTGCTACTTCATGCAGTGTATATGGTGTGCATAAAATGAAATTTAAAGACACATTTTTCATTCAATGACCAGTAATTACAAAATATTTCATAACTTTTTTTTTTATACTTATTACAACCATAAAGTAAAAACTGGGCCTTTTGATATCACATGGTTACTACAGCCACTTTTTCAATAAAAAAAACGGAAGTAAGAAAATTTTCATAGTTTGTGATTGATTATCAAGAAAATTATAATCTTAAACATCACTTTTGATATACACAACTACTCAGGAGTTGAAAAAAAGATACTGGAGTTCCTCATCGGCAACATACATGAGGTTCTTTGGATATCGGGTCTTCCTACAAATGGTTGGTAATAGAATTCAGATGGCCACAAATCGTTCTCTCTAATTGGCCTAACAGTTTTTATGTTCTTATGGAACAGAATTTATTTTTTATTCAAAGTTTTAATGCGGAAAACAACTTTGCTATGACCTTCAACTCGACATTCAGATTGATCGACGAAGTTTTACAAAATAAAAAAGAGAGATACTTTTCAATTGTGCTTTTTTTAGAATGCAAAAAACAGATAAATTAAGGTACATGGGTATGGAAATTTTCAGTTTTCCTATAAATACAATTATATAGGGTAATTTTATTTGATAGTGACATTGTAGTTCATGATTTTTGCATCAAAAACAACTCGTCATTTTTTTTTTAGGGTTTCCTCTTCCTTGATTGCATTGATTAGCGATGGGCAGGAAGAAACTAAACACTAATAATAATTTCCTAAGATGAAACATTAAAATATTAAAGGCAAACAAAATTAATGATAAAAAAGCAATAAATGAAATTTGCATTTTTTCCCATATTAAGATCTGTTTCTATCTGTATATATACAGAATTTATGCTTTTATATCAAGCAGTAACTTTAATGTAAAATCATATAAATATATACATCTTTACCATCTTAATCATCTGTTAAGTCCTTGCTCAGAATCGCTGTTTTGGCAAAAATCTGGATCCATTTTTTTCCTTGAAATTTATCGCCAATATCCAAGGTCGGTGTGTTTCCGCTTTGTCTTTTTAAAAATCTCCAAAAAAAAGGATAAAGTTTGCAATAATTTGATTGGGAAAAAAATTTCAAAACAGGAAAAAAAAAAAAATTTCATAAGAAACAAAGTTTTATCATTATATTTTAAGAAGATACTTGAATGAACCTTCATTGAAAATACTTAGACCGAGTAGGAAGGAAAATACATTAGATAGGATAATGGAATTATACTTAAGATAGCTGACCTATATTAGGACCAAATTTTCTAATCTTGAATATCAATTTTATATAAAATGCTCTCATATTATTTCAAAATATATTAGAAAAAAAAATTACCAGAAGAAATTTCAAAAACAATTATTATCTAAACATTTATTAATTATTGAAAATTTCATCGTAGTATATGGAAATATATATTTTTTGATATTAAATTTCTTAGTTAATTCTCAGAAAAAAAAAATTAAATGTACATATACACGTGCTCTGTTGAACCATGTTTATCCTGACTTGAATCTTTTTCATATGAAAGAAATGTAGAAAACTTTCCATTTAAATCATCATATTCATGGGAGGCAGTCTGATCCTCAAGCAAATCGTTCAAAAACATATAACCACATCCCTTTGTGGTTTCTGTAGATGCACCTTTTATATCAGTATAAACATTTGTTTGAACGTCTGACACATCAGCATACACACTAAGGCCACAATAATCATGGCTTTCTGATTCTCCTCCGAAGAAATGGCTTCTTTGCATATACTCTTTCTCTGGTGTTTCATCTAAAGTGTTGATGTCGGTATAGACGGACTGGTTGGGCATATCTGTATATACATTCCCATGATTTTCTACATGTTCTCCAACCACATGGTTTATATGTTCCCTCGAACTCTGTTGCGTTTTCTTTTTCCTCCTTGAAAAAAAAAATTCAAAAATATGAAAAGAGAATAAAAAAAAATTATTTTGTTCTTAAATATTCAAGGTTTATTTTTTGTTCTAACTAATATATATATGTGTTTAATTTTTTTCGTTACCCTATATTCCTGCAAGTGATGATGCAAATTCCGATAAAGGAAAGACCAAGCACGGTGACGAGAACTATGAACCAATGCATCTCTGTTTTAATAAGATTTGTTATTTGTCCCCAAATTCCGACCTTGTTGTTCAAATTCTCAGAAACCAGGACCTCAGACTCGTTTGTAGACTGTGATGTGTTACCGTTGTCTGGTGTAGAGGTAAGGATCATAACTAACAAATAAAATTGGAAAAAATATATATACATGTTACTATAAGAAATTCCAAAATTCGAATTAAAGGTTGCCGTTCACTAAATAAACTCTATCAAAGTAATTGCAACTCACACTTTTTTAAATACTGACCATTTTCAATTGGTTTTACATGTAAGTGAAGTAGTCTTAATCCTTTTGGCGTCATATTTTCTACAATGCATCCCAAAACGTCATCACACTCTTCTTCTGAGCACGTGCAAGTCTCTCTACATCTAGGTCCAAAAGAGCCAGATGGGCACGGACTGGTACAATTATATCCATATGACCCATGACATTCTAAGGAGAGAATAATTTGAATTTTGTTGATTAATTTTACTATTTAACAGATATTCTTAATGTTTAAAATATTACATGTAAATACGTACATGAATAAACATAAAGCAAGTCATTTTAAATATCTTTCAAAATGTAGGTTAGTAAACGATTGATAAATCAGAAAAGAATAATACAACAGACTTAAAGACTTGCTTACCCTTACATGTACCTTCCCATTCGTAAAACCCGGAACAACACATTCTTGTCCCACTATAGAACGAAACCAAAAATATCAATCAAACAAAATAATACCTAACAAAAAAGTAAGAAAATTCCTTTCTGTGAAATTGTATCATTTACTTTGCAAGTCTGCATCCATTCGGCGTTCCAGGCAAGAGTGTCAGGACTTTGGATGTGTACAATAATAATCCTGAGACTGACAACATAGCATGTTTCATATTTGGAAGTATTTCTACAGTTGATGACCTTAAAGTTTATGAATCTATTTTATATTATCGATAAAAAGTGTCGCATTTCCTTATTCTGATTCAAAAGGTTACACCACGTGATAGATTTTATATTTAACGAAAAAATTATCTCAGGCTATTTTAATTCTTTTATCAACTTGATAAAAATAGAAAAGTCTGTAAAACCTAAAAATATTACTGACCCAAAAGCAACTTCAATGCTATTATTTGATGATGAGAATCTTCTAAAAGTGTTTAAGGAAGTGAAGGAATTATTTGATTGATTGATTGATTGATTGTATATTGTTTAACGTCCCTCTCGAGAATTTTTCACTCATATGGAGACGCCACCACTTGCCGGTGGAGGGCTACACATTTTGTCCTATGCTCGGCACTCAGAGCCTTTGAGCAGTGAGGGATCTTTTTCGTGCCAGCACCTACTGCGACACGGGGCCTCGGTTTATACGGTCTCATCCGAAGGACCGGTGTCGCATAATATTTGGTCCGCCTCGTTTAAAGGTCCGGCCGGACCTAATACGATAACATATTTGGTCCGCCTGGCTCTATAAGAAAAGGTCCGCCCTCGGCCTTTTATATAAATTGTATGCATGTGGTTCATTCGATATTAATTGAAAAACTTCTTTTAAAATTAATTAAGGATATATATATAGTCGTATTAATAGCTAGTGTTTTCTCCAAGAAAATGTAGTAAACAATAAGTAAGAAATCGAAATTAATACATAAATAAAGGAATGTATACTTTAGATTTATTGATCGGTTTTCCTGTCGGGAAGATGGGACATGCTTCTTTTGTCGTTTAAATTAATACACTAATGTCAACATTATCATTAAAAAAAATATCAAGAATAAAAATGTACATACATTTACCTTCACCGCCTTGTTTACTGGCAGATTAATCAGTATTGAATGAACAGAAAAATGTGCGTTAGTCCAACACGAATCATTTAGTTACACTCTCTTTCCTATAAACATGATAAACGTTTGACTAATCCACTCACAAAAACTAAAGTTCACATCTTTCAAAATATATTTCATTATAGTATTGATAAAAAAAATCTGTCATTCTTTACGTTTAAAATTGTTGTAAATAACTGGAGGGTCACTACATGTAGCTGTGACAGGGGCTTATGTCACGGTGTACTACCCTACACCCCTTATTGTAAAAACAACATGCCTACAGATTGGGCATTTGGGGTTAGCCTATAATTGTTTCGTTTGAGAAAACCTAAAGTACCATAATCCCTGTGTTTTTATAAGTTAAATCTGTTTCTTACCTATTCAAAGGCTAATTATTATATCTACTAGATCTCTGCATTTCATTTCCTGAATTTAACATTGCAGACAATTTTTGTTATTATTTCGGAATCCGACAATTTTATTTTCATTTTCGACATTATTTATTTCTTTTTTTCACATTTTCGGATTTCTTTTTAGGATACCTTTACGGCAATTTAAGTTTAACATATATATAACAAAGATGGAAATTAGAATATTAACAGGGTATTGTATATATGCATTGGATAAAATTATTTATTTCAAATCACGTTTTTTCGATTCATTACATACACTCTGTAATCAATATTAAGACTAGTTAAAAAGTAAAGGAAACAGTTAAGTGAAACTTCACATTCACAATACATGCACCTACATCTGTTCCAGGGTAAAATTAATTAAGTTTCTTTGACAGCTAAGAGCAAAGGCTTTTATTTGAATAAATTATCTAAAATATTTTACCTTCAGGATTTTTAAAACGGATGTATGAATTCTTTTTTCATTGACGAAAAAGTACTGACATGAATGACAAATGTCGGAGATGAAAACTTTTAAAATGTAAAAACTTAAAAATGTCGGAAATTATAAGTTCAGAAAATTCAATGAAATGCGGCCTACTAAATAATAATTACTCCGGGACAAGGTAAATGCATGGGGTGCGTATCATTACCGCTACATTTTCAAAATTTTCATTACCGCTAAAAAAAGTATACATTACCGCTACATTGCCTCTTTCGTTAGCCAGCCACATATGCGTGTACAGTACAACCTATAAATGCATAAGACCCGTTTCCCCTGCTCACCACGGAAAGTGAGAGTAGGACTTTGAGCAGGATGGTTTTTTTTCATTATTAAAATCAATTTTTTTCATAAATCACACACAAATAAGTCTGCAGTTGAAATTTAATTATTTAGCGTCATCTGAACATTTTGACCACAATTGAGAAGTTTGTTACAAATTGAGATATAAAGACCAAAATTATACAATGTGGTAGGGGTCAGCCGACGTTTGTGATTTCCTATTAATAGTAAATCGAGAACGGTCATTCATTTCAAAGTTTTTGTTTACTATGAGCCTAACTTTGTACAAACTTGTGTGAATGGCAAAAGACGTGTAATACATTTATAAAACTTGTGTGAAAGGAAATTTGCACACGATTAGGCTGGTACTTAAAATATTAATCAAGGAAGTTCTAAACTCTACACAATAAAAAAAAGTTCTAATCTCTAGTTTTCAAGTTACGAAAATAAACCCTGTCCAAAAATTTCCCTTTATACCATAAAATATCTGAAATACAGAGGGCGGACCTTTTCTGATAACTGGGTTTTAAGGTCCGCCCTGTCTTTTTTCTAGTTTTCAAGCTATGAAAATAAACCCTGTCCAAAAATTTCCCTTTATGACATGAATATTTGAAATACAGAGGGCAGACCTTTTCTGATAACTGCGTTTTAAGGTCCGCCCTGTCTATTTTTCTAGCTTTCAAGCTACAAAAATAAACCCTGTCCAAAAATTTCCCTTTATGACATGAATATATCTGAAATACAGAGGGCGGACCCTTTCTGATAACTGCGTTTTAAGGTCCGCCCTGTCTCTTTCTCTAGTTTTTTAAGCTACGAAAATAAATCTCTCCAAATATTTCTCTTTATAACATAAAATATCTGAAATACAGAGGGCGGTCCTTTTCTGATAACTGCGTTTTAAGGTCCGCCCTGTCCCTTTCTCTTGTTTTTAAGCTATGAAAATAAACCCTGTCCAAAAATTTCCCTTTATAACATAAAAATATCTGAAATACAGAGGGCGGACCTTTTCTGATAACAGCGTTTTAAGGTCCGCCCTGTCTTTTTTTCTAGTTTTCAAGCTACGAAAATAAACCCTGTCCAAAAATTTCCCTTTAAAATATAAAAATATCTGAAATACAGAGGGCGGACCTTTTCTGATAACTGCGTTTTAAGGTCCGCCCTGTCTATTTTTCTAGTTTTCGAACTACGAAAATAAACCTGTCCAAAAATTTTCCTTTATAACATATTAATATCTGAAATACAGAGGGCGGACCTTTTCCGATAACTGCGTTTTAAGGTCCGCCCTGTCTCTTTCTCTAGTTTTTTAAGCTACGAAAATAAATCTCTCCAAAAATTTCTCTTTATAAAATAAAATATCTGAAATACACAGGGTGGACCTTTTCTGATAACTGCGTTTTAAGGTCCCCCCTGTTCCTTTCTCTAGTTTTCAAACTACGAAAATAAACCCTGTCTGAAAAATTTCCCTTTATAATATAAAAATATCTGAAATACAGAGGGCGGACCTTTTCCGATAACTGCGTTTTAAGGTCCGCCCTGTCTCTTTCTCTAGTTTTTTAAGCTACGAAAATAAATCTGTCCAAAAATTTCTCTTTATAAAATAAAATATCTGAAATACAGAGGGCGGACCTTTTCTGATAACTGCATTTTAAGGTCCGCCCTGTTCCTTTCTCTAGTTTTCAAGCTAGGAAAATAAACCTGTCCAAAAATTTTCCTTTATAACATATAAATATCTGAAATACAGGACAGACCTTTTCCGATAATTGCGTTTTAAGGTCCGCCCTGTCCCTTTCTCTTGTTTTTAAGCTACGAAAATAAACCTGTCCAAAAATGTCCCTTTATAGCATAACAATATTTGAAATACTGAGAGCGGACCTTTTCCGATAACAGCGTTTTAAGGTCCGCCCTGTCCCTTTCTCTTGTTTTTTTAGCTACGAAAATTAACCTGTCCAAAAATGTCCTTTTATAACATAAAAATATCTGAAATACACAGGGCGGACCTTTTCTGATAACTGCGTTTTAAGGTCCGCCCTGTCTATTTTTCTAGCTTTCAAGCTACGAAAATAAACCCTGTCCAAAAATTTCCCTTTATGACATGAAGATATCTGAAACACAGAGGGCAGACCTTATCTTATACTGGGTTTAAATACTTTTAAAGTCATATAAGGCTTTTTTTTTTTATAAGTTTAGACTAAAAATATGAGAAAGATCTTCCTATTTGTTTTGGTACTTTATATAACACTGTAAAGATAGGACTGCTGCATTTCATTTCCGGAAATCGGCATGGTATTTCCGCCTTTTCTTTATTTCATTTCCAACAATTTGTCTTTTCTTTTCCGACATTTATTTCTTTTCATTTCTGGAATGTTTGCAACGTACCTCTCCGGCAATTTAATGTTTACCGTGTATGTAGAAATGGAATTTTGAAAGAATTTATTATACACAACATTTTTAATAAAAAGTTCTGTATACATGTTTATACATGTACATCTGTACATGAAGCACTAAGTCTAGTTGACAGAGTTAATTGAACATGTAATTTTTTTTATCGTATTTAATGTTCACTAAATTAAATGTCAAAGACTGCGCCGAACATTGATTTACTAAACAGTCTATGATTTATTCTTTAAAACTTTTCATTACCAGAAAGCACTTCCTGAAAAATGTCGGAGATGAACACTTTAGAATGTCGGAAATGAAAGCTTAAAATGTCGGAAATAATAGCATCTATTTGATAATCTAAAATAGATGCCTTTATTTTATGAAAAAAGAAATCGGGTTCGATGAATATGATATAGAGATTCCATTAGTAACATCGGGTTCGGGCTCCCTCTTATATCCGGTTGCTGAACAGGGAACAGACAAAGATACATCCAGAGAATAAACAGTTA